AGTGGCAAGAAATATTCAAAGTGATGAATAGCAAGAACCTACAACCTAGATTACTTTACCCAGCAAAGCTATCATTCAGAAGTGAAGGTCAGATAAAGAGCTTCACAGATAAGAAAAAGCTAAAGGAGTTCATCACCACCAAACCAGCATTATATGAAATGCTGAAAGGTATTCTTTAAGAAGAGGAAGAAGAAGAAAAAGGTAAAGATAAAAATTATGAACAACAAATACATACCTATCAACAAGTGAATCTAAAAATCAAGTGAATAAAAAATCTGATGAATAGAATAAACTGGTGAATATAATAGAATCAGGGGCATAGAAAGGGAGTGGACTGACAATTCTCTGGGGAAAGGGGTGTGGGGGGTGTGGGAAGAGACTGGACAAAAATTGTACACCAATGGATAAGGACAGTGGGGGGGGGTAAGGGCAGAGCGTGGGGTGGGAACTGGATGGAAGGGAGCTATGGGGGGAAAAAAGAGGAACAATTGTAATAATCTGAACAATAGAGATTTAATAAAAAATTTAAAATAAGATAGAACTTCCTGAGCAGAAATGGGCTCCTCAGAAACCAGTATTTTTTTGCAGTCAAGTTATCCTGACAGAGAAGTCCAAACTCTATGCCACGAGTGCTAAACTGGGTTTCCAACCTCCTTTTTTTAAAAAATTCTCACCCAAGGATATTTTTGATTTTAGAGATGGAGGGAGAGGGAGAAAGAGAGAGAGAGAAATAGAGAAGTGAAAGGGAAACATTGATCATTTGCCACCTGTATGTGCCCTGACCAGAGATCAAACCACAACCCAAGTATGTGACCTGACTGGGATTTGAACCTGCAACCTTTTGGTGTACAGAATTCGCCAGCAAACTGCGGCTCGAGAGCCACATGCGGCTCTTTGACCCCTTTAGTGTGGCTCTTCCACAAAATACCACGTGCGAGCGCGCACGTATAGTGCGATTGAATCTTCATGGCCCATGCACAGAAGTCGGTATTTTGAGGAAGAGCCATACTCAAGGGGCCAAAGAGCCGCATGTGGCTCGTGAGCCGAAGTTTTCTAACCACTGGTGTACAGGAGGATGCTCCAGCCAACCGAGCCACCTAAGCAGGTCCAGATAACAATCTTTTCAGCTTTGTGGGCCTTACTGTCTCTGTCACCACTGCTTCACTGTAGTTGTAGAGTGAAAGCAAGCCTCCATAATATATGACTGAATGGACATGGCTGTGTGCCATTAAGACTCCATTTGCAAAAAGAAGTACTGGGCAAGATTTGTTCTGGGAATTGTAGCTTGTCACCCATGTTACATCTTATTTTCTGAATTAGGAGGGAGCAGAACCTAGACATCAACCAACTCCCATACTTAAATTTCAGTGATATTAGATTTTTTGCTCGTGGCAGAGGTACCATTTGCCAGAACATCCTTTCAGGTTCAGCTATCCACACCCACCTGTTATTCAGTTGTGCAGCTAGGCAATTACAATGGAGAAAGTCCCATTAGATGAGATTTAAGCTTCATTAGACTCCAAAGAATGGGGAATGTGACGAACATTTTTCAAAAAGGAAACCTGGGTACTAATTGTATGGCCCCAACGTGAAACGGTTAATTTATTCAGTAGCTGGACACAGGAATGGCATGCTCATGGACCATGTTGACAGGACAAGACGCTGAAACCGTTGGCAGAAAGCTAAAGTCAATAGCGAAGGCAAGTGAACACGGCCTGCAGAGCCCAGCAGGGAGGCTGCCGACAGGTGGCCCTTTGTCAGAGGCAGGAGACCCTCGGTCCAGAAGCTCGGAAGCAGCTGTGCCTTCAGGTATAGAATTTCTATTATTCCCATTGCTTCCAAATAAAGCAGGTTTTTAAAAAATTAAGTCTAGTTTTTCCGTTATGAAGAAGCCACTAGTTTGTTTTAATTGCCTGCCTATTTAGAAAGTGTTGAAGAAATTGGTGTTTTTATATGTGAAAATATTTACATGTTAGCTATTTTAAACTCTAAGAATATTGACTGATTTAAAAATTAACAAATGCGCTTGAATATTTTGAGAGCTTTACTTGGGGAATCTGGAATGATATTATTGCCATTATGTACAATAATTTTCTTTCTGCTCAACTCAAGAGGATTCACAACTGTTGAGTTCCCTTCTACCAACTCCCTTTCCATAATTATGAACAACACAGGTGACAAATGAGCAATGAACACAAGTATTCCTCTGGATGTCTCAATTTGCATCTTGTGTCGAGTCCTGGGGCACACAACGTGTAGAAAACCCATGTTCTCTATATGGTAATTGTGTGCTTCGATTCACCATCCACATGTTGAGAAGAAACTCTACATCACTTAGATTAAGGCTCATGTTCAATAGCCCTCACCCAGCAGAGTCACACATGTGCTGCTTTCTCTTTTAGGATGGTTCCCTTCAGGCAAGCAGCTTATTTCATTTGCTTGTTTGCTACAGTCTCCTGTGGTGAGTGGATTATCTACAAGACGTCCAGTTAAGGGTGTGGGAGAGAAGTTAGGAAGGACCGGGCACCGCTGGAAAAAGCTACTGAACATAGAGCTTTGAGGAAGGAGCCAGGCCCTAATAAGTCAGGACGTCCTTTGAATGCTCAGTATTTCCCATGAAACCTCAGGGCGAGGAGCCCAGGAGTGGGAGTCCCTCTGGGTATGTGTTGGCAGAAACTTCTGTTTGGAAAGGACTCCCTGCAAAGCAGCTCGAAAACAATCAGCCTTCTATCAACATTAGTTAAAAATCAACTCTGTCTGAATGTTCCAGAGTGCCAGGCATTTTAAAGTGCCTGCGTCCAATCTGAGTATCCTAATAGGTACACAGTACATACTTTGATTCTTATAGGCAACCTGCGAACCATTTCAAAATTGTAAGTTCCTGGTTTAAATTCAATTCAGTAAGCCATCCATTTGAATAGCTCTAGTTTCAACAAACCAGTGGTTTTGACCTTATTTCTCTCTCTCCATGAAATTTTCACGGAATTAGGATAATTCTGGACACTGTTTCCCATGAATCCCGGTAGAGCGGTGTTTTATCTGTGCCGCCCTTAGGGGTGGATTTGGAGTCAATGTTGACTTAGGATGATGACACCACAGTGCTGTTTACTTATTTCTCAGATGTATGGCTAAGACAAACACCTCTTGGGTAAAGGTTGCATTTCTAAAGAGAGATAATTTCTTCAGGAAGAAGCTATGATTTTCTAAACCACAACTCCCCTCCATCTGTCCCCTCACTCTTCATTGTTCTGAGTCATAATCATCACCACGTACAAATCCACTGGATACTGAGTATTAGAAACCAGAGATGCCCTGGACCATGGCCACCACAATTTTCTCTTTTTGGAAAAAAATTATATATATTCATGCTAGGAAAATGAAGGTGCAAGTAAGCAGAAAATGAGAAACTACATATTGTCTATAATCCCATCATTCAGAAATGGCTATTTTTAAAGGTGTTTTGTTTAATCTTTCATTTATTTTTCTACACATGTCTACTTACACATTTAACAAAGATGTTATTAATCATAGATATTTTTATTACTCACGTTTCCTATTTTTAGCAATCTTCTTGTGTGAGTTGGTATGTCATATTATTTGCAGTTTAGTATTCCCCCCATTCATGTTATTTTTGTATGCAGATTTTTGCACACATATTCAGTTATTTTGGTAGAATAGCCTTTTAGAAAGAAGGTAGAAAGGTGTGGGTATTTTGGAAGGTTTCATGCTCTACATTGTGAAATTCACTTCCAGAAAGGCTATTCCTACGCTGACTTTCTCCCCAGCACATGGGAGGGATCATTTCCCCACTTAGGCTGACTGGAATATTCATCAGTTGTTCCTCTCCTGGCACCTCCTCACCTCTCTGGAGCAGTCGACTAACTCATCTATGGGAAACCGCTGCCTCCCAGTTAGGGTCCATGCGGTTGTGGCTGTGACCCAGGCAGGCCTGACACAGTAAGTGCACACAGCCTGCTGCCTGAGGTGACCTGCTCAGAGCCACCGCCTGGCAACGACACTATTGTTTGCACTTCTAGAGATAATACTGATTTTTTTTCCCCTTCAAACTGGACTTGAGCTATGGGAGCACACAGAGGCCTAGGGTCTGACACCGTCTTGCCATTATGTGGAGCAAAGGTGACACTGAAACAGAGCAATCGTCTGCAGACAAATGGTGTTATGATAGGGTCAGCTGAGCCCCACGCCCAGGTCTGCCTGAATCCAGATTCCCCATGGACTCTGGGGTCTGAGCCCGTACATTTCATTTGTTCTCAGTTA